TAATATCTACCAATAAAGTTCATCTTATTACAACAAATATGATGGCATGAAGGATAGTTGAGAAGTGATTTATGATAATGTTTATAAATATAATAGTAAACTTAATTTGATGAAGATATTAAACTAAAAAATAGAAATAAATAATGTTAGTATATATTAAAACTTATTTACCTGCTACACCTACATATCCAAAAGACGTTGTATATCTAAAACAAGGGCAATTTAACCAAATGTTAAATTATGATAGGTCTTCAAATGTTAACTTAAAATAACAAGAAAAGAATACTTATTAAAATTAATGTTAAAAAAATTTGAAGTCAAAATAAATCAATAATAATACCAAATAACTAACATTGCAATAGAACGACAGACCTATCTAAAAATAAAAGGTAACTGTCAATCCTAATCTAAAAACTAACTGCTCTCTACTTCAAAAATAGTCCTCCTAATGAACGCAATCTTCCCCTCTATATAAAGCACGCTATATATAATATATAAAAACATAATTAATAAGTTTGTTTAAAGTAATCTTTAAATTAATTTTAATTTTTAAAATCTAACAAACTTACTTTTACAACAAATATGGATGAAGGATAGTTTGAGAAGTGATTATGATAATGTTTATAAATATAATAGTAAACTAATTTGTGAAATATTAATAAAAAATAGAAAAATAATGTTATATATATAAAATTATTTACCTGTACACTAATATCCAAAGATTGTATATTAAAACAAGGGGCAATTTAACAAATGTTAAATATAAGGCTTCAAATTTAACTAAATACAAGAAAAGAATACTTATTAAAATAATAAAAAATTTGGTCAAAATAAATCTAATAATACCAAAACTAACATTGCAATAGAAACGACAACTATTAAAATAAAAGTAACTGTCAATCCTAATCTAAAACTAACTGCTTCTACTTCAAAATAGCCTCCTAATGGCGCAATCTTTCCCCTCTAATAAGCACGCTGAAAAGAAAGTCTAAGCAGAAACTAGTTGCCACCTCCAAAAAAATCAAAGGAAAAGTAAATAGAAAAACTAGTATAAATACAAAATAATTTTGTGATTTCATTTCAACAATCAAAGAAACAAACAACTGAAAAACTAGATTTTCCGATTTAATGGTAAATACGGTCTATATAAATATATATGTTTTTCTGGTTTAAAGATTAGTACGGTGTATATATATATACACACACACATCAATTAACACATTGGATCAAACCAGGTAAATACGGTATATACATATATATATTGTATCAATATTAATCCAAACATAATTGAAAGTTTTACCTTATCTTTTCAAAACAAAAACAACATCTACGGAGATGAAATCGTGATTAGGAATTAATTTTCCATTGGAGAATAGAAATGAAAATGAAAATCAAATTGTATAACAAAAATCTATTTTCTGGTTAAAACTCTCACTCCGAGCGTGCATGTAATGATGTTTCTCATGTCGGTCTTGCTGCTGGAATCAAAGTTCAGGTCTACGGTTGGAAGAAGAAGAGGAAGAAGAAGAAGAATTAATCGTTTGTGAAAATATCGGCATGGAACGCAGGAAGAGACAGAAAGAGTAATAAGAAAAGAATACCGGCTAACAAAACGGCAGCAAAAAAAGAAAACAAACTAAAATACTAACGATATACCCTTATAAGCAATTAAAGGAAATGATAAGAAATTAAAAGGAAACACTAAGAAATTAAAACGCTAAAAGAGCACAAAAGTAAAAATATACCCTAATTGAGTTTAAATAGAAAATTAAAACAAGCAAAAAAAGGAAACACTAAGAAATTAAAACACTAAAATACTAACAAATTAACCCTTACAAAAATAAAAATATACCCTAACTAAGTTTAAATATTAAAGTCAATCTAACATATATTAAAAATAAGTTTCAAAAACTGACATTTAGTATAATATCCCTTAAAACAAAACACATAACCATGAATAGTAAAAGAAATATAATCACTGAACTGCAAAACAACGTCCATTGAATAACATTGAATTGTGCAAACCAAATAAAAGACAGTATGAAAATATAAAACTAGTACAAGAAGCTGAAGTGCACTTCACATCGTGTGGCGTACAGCTCTACACTGAGGAGGATAGCAAATGCTGTTTCCTGCAAATTTTTATCTAATTCTAAGTTCTATTCTTTATTTGTTTCGATTTTATTATTAATATTCTATGATTCAAAAGTAAATCATGGATTTTGAACAATCTCAAGAATAAAGGTTGCAAAGAACACAGAGAGAAAGAAAGTATTTCGTATTGAACTCTGAGAAGTAAAAATACATTGTGAATAATAGAGAATTAATACTAAGCCATTTATATTTTAACTAACTGCAGGCTTAGCTGTCACATTTGCTATTTACATAAATAACCTCATAGTTACACATATTTAGGTACACTAACATCCCCCCACAAGTTGGAGGGTCCAAATCTTGCAAACCCAACTTGCAGATCAGATCCCGATAGTGTGCAGCACTCAAAAGGCTTTGTAAAAGTGTCAGTCAATTGTGTGTAGGGAGAAATGTGATGTGGTTGAATGAATCCTTGCTTAAGTTGATCACGAACCAAATGACAGTCAATATCCAAGTGTTTAGTACGCTCATGAAACACTGGATTGGCTGCAATATGAAGAGCAACCTGATTGTTGCAAAATAAAGGAATAGGAAGAGTGAGAGGAACCTGGAGATCCTCTAGGATATGAGAAATCCACTGAAGCTCATAAAAGTAGTAGATACTCTGCCTCAGCAGCAGAGCGAGAAACAATGGTTTGCTTCTTAATTTTCCATGAAACAAGTGCAGTGCCAAGAAATATACAATAACCAGTAAGTGACTTGTGAGAAAATGGACAAGATGCCCAATTAGCATCACAAAATGCTTGAAGTTGCAGATTATTAGATGCAGAATAAAAAAGCTGTTTAGAGGAAGAACAATGCAAGTATCTGAAAACTTATAATGTAGCATCCATATGAGGTTTCCTTGGAGAAGCCATGAATTAAGCCATGAATTGACTCAAATGTTGGACTAAGTAGCTGATGTCAGGTCTTATTAAAGTAACATACAAGAGCTTACCAACAAGCCTTCTAAATTGATTAGGATCAGCCAATAAAACACCATTATCTAAAGAGAGTTTAGAACCCTTAGAAAAGGGAAGATGAGAACATTTAGCATGTTAAAGACCAACCTCTGTAACCAAATCCAGAATAAATTTTCTTTGAGAAAGATGAGTACCAGTAGAAGATCTTGCTATTTCTATACCAAAGAAATATTTAGCAAAGCCTAAATCTTTGATAGTGAACTGATTATCCAAGGCTTGCTTCACAACATATATTTCAGTTAAGCTAGTTCCAATAATAATAACATCATCGACATACACTAGTAAAACCAGAAAAAGCTTTATCAGTTTATCTAGTTAACAAACAATGATCATGAATGGACTGAACAAGACACAATTTCAGAATATAATTGGTAAACTCAACATTCCACTATCGAGAGGCTTATTTGAGGCCATAAAGAGACCTTTTTAACAGACAAACTTGATTAGAATGTGCAATAGAATAACTTGCAGGGGGTTGCATGTAAACTTCCTCATCCAAAAAACCATGCAACAAAGCATTATTAATATCCAATTGACATGGGTCATTAAAAAGAAGTAGCTATAACAAAAACTATGCAAATAGTAGCAATTTTTGCAACAGGAGAAACCTATCCTTAAAATCAATACCCTCAATTTTACTGTAGGCCTTGGCTACCAATCGAGCCTTATATCTATTTACATCTCCATTGGGCTTGTATGTAACTTTGTATATCCATTCGGAACCAATGGCCTTTTTGCCTTTGGGTAAGGAAGTCAAAATCCAAGTGCCATTAGACTCTAAGGCTTTGAGCTCATCATTCATAGTCTTAAACCAATTAGGGTCCTTAGAGGCTTGCAAATACGTAGTAGGTTTAGGTTTTTGATTTATTTTGGCCAAAAAAAGCTAAATGTTGGAAAGTAAAAGTATAAGAAGGTGAAGAAGTAAAAGTATAAGAAGTAAAAGTAAAAGTATATTACATAAATAATTATAATTTAAAATAATTATATTATAATAAAACAAAAATAATTAAAAATATAAAAAAAACCGGTTTGGGTCAATTGAGTTTGCGTGAATCGATCAGTTTAACTATGTATCATTCGGTTAAATCTGACTCTCTTTTTTTCAATGGTTCAAAAGTAAAAGCAATCCAAATTTGAGACCGGTTTTCCAAGTTGACCCGCGGTGTCTATATGTGAGGCTTTGTAACAGGAGAGGCTAATCGGGAAGAGTCAACTTGACCTAATCCAGGTATATGAACCATACACTACCACCATATCAGCTAATAAGACTAAACAGTGCAAAGAAAAATTAGCCTCGTATATGTTATTCACACGCACATATTTTCTTTAACCTATACTTTTTCGAAAATTTTAAATTTACCACTTAATTGAACTTTAATCTTGTATAACAAGGGCCATAGACAAAAGTGGAGAAATTAATAGGTAAAAACCCATGATATGAAAATGTGCGATATGGACTTACTTAGACTTTAGTCAACTAATGCTAAAAGGTTAGTTCTAATTATTTAGCTTGCTTATCACTTTTATATGTCCTTTGTGGATTGAATATCTAATTGATGTGGGATTCTTAACAGAGATCTCATCCACGAAATGAGTCAGAAGAGCATACTTATTTTTCCTATTGGGACCTACAATTATTAATATTTTTATGGTCCCATAAGTTAATGATTTTAATATTTTTCAATAAATTTTTAATATTGCAATCAAACAACAGAAAATAACTTATTTGAAAAATATTTTCTGAAGGTAAGTTATTTTCTAAAACCAAATGGAGCCTAATTGTTAATAAATTTCATTTCAAGAAAATGCCAATACAAAAATACTCCTCACAAAAAAACAGAAAATAAAAAATCTAAGACGAAGAATGGCAGCTTATTGAAGGTAGCGCTGCATCACAACACAAAAGTAAAAATGATAAAATAATAATATTCACTGTATCCATAGTAAAACCTTATTATTGAGAAGCAAACTCAATATGTCTATGATGATTCTCGAGATCATACTGTAACGATTGCTATTGCAACCACAGCTGCAATCAAAATGTGAAACCAAGATGAGATAAATGCGTCGGAACCATTGGGTTCTGGAGTTGGTGCTGGTGATGATGCTGGACCATTAGATTCGACATTAATGACTAGCTTCTGGCCTTGCTCACAGTGACCAGTAGCACCGCAAATGTACCATTTCTTTCCTGGTTTGCTTAGAGGAACGGTGTCGTTTCCAGTGTTCAAAAGATCATTGGATGGTATGCAATTCTTGAACTGATCTCCGTTCACTTTGTACACATTGTTTGGTGACTTGTACTGGAACACTGCAATTTTTTGTTGCATCAAATATCATTCATTTTCTTTCAAACTTACACAAATTCTGACGTGTTGGAATCAAATTATAATATGTTAAAAGAAAATGTAATACACTAACTAGTTCTCTCTTAAAGACTAGTTTTACCTACCATTTAAATTTACAAGTTAACAATTGAGTGTTTGTCTCGTAAGTTATGTTCGGCAATAGCTTTTTAAGTAACTTTTAATATTTTTACAAATTAAAACGCTGAACGCTATTGATTATAATATTCGATAACATAGAGTTTGGACTAGCTTTTGGAGATTAAAGTAGCGTTTTATAAAATGTTAACCTATATAACATTTAGATTTTAACATCATGAAAAACCACTCAAACAGTTAACATCTATCAAAACATTAATTTTGCCTAACAGATCCGTAATAAAAAAAGTTAGAGGATTTAAATTAAATAAAGAAAGTGGATTGTATATACCTAATCTGTCACCAACATAAAACAATTTGTCCTTAGCCCAGTCAGTGTAGTTAACGCCAACGTTCCAGCCTTCATCATCACCAACTATGTAATCAGTTGCCATGGCCATTGTGGGAAGAATAATTGTAACAATGGCGAAGCCAACAAACTGATAACTTTTAGAAGCCATTGAAGATTAATTGATTAATAAGTTAGCTGTGATGCCTCTTTCTTAATTACTCTAATTAATCTCCAATAGAAAATGTTGTTCTGCTTAAGGAAAATATGGGGTCTTATTTATAGATAAACCTTGTATCACAAAATTAATGTATCATAGCGACCGGCAAAGGTCGGCACAGGAAATTAACATCGGTTTACCCGAAATAGCTTGCAGGCAACAATAATATAATTGCTCAACGCTTCCCTTAACAGATCCGTAACTTAAAAAGTTAGAGGATTTAAATTATCAAATAAAGACGAAGTGGATTGTATATACCTTTAATCTGCTCCCACCAACATAAAACAATTTTGGTCCTTAGCCCAGTCAGGCTCGTAAGTTAACGCCAAGCGTTCCAGCACCTCTGATCAGTCCTACCAACTATTGTAATCAGTTGCCATGGCTCATTGTGGGAAGAATAATTGTAAACAATCTGGCATAGCCAACAAACTCGATAGGTACTTTAGAAGCCATTGAAGATTCAATTGATTATATACGTTTAGCTTGATGCCTCTTTTCTAATTTACTTCATATATTTAACTCCTCCAATAGAAAATTGTTGTTCTGCACTTTAAGGAAAAATATGGGGTCTTATTTATAGATAAACTTGTATCACAAAATTTAATGTATCACATATTGCGAACCGGCCAAAAGGTCGGCACAGGAAATTACATCGGTTCTACCGACAATAGCTTGCTAGCAACAATAATATATCTATAACTATCATATATTTTATATATATATATACTATAGCTATTATATAATATAGTTGAATATCTACAAACACTAATATAGTTAATATCTACAAACACAAAGCAAGCCATGTGGCATAGATTGAATATGTATATATTGTCTAAGTTCCATATATATATATATATATATTTCCAATTTCTCCTAGTATTAACTTATATACCGGATATATAATATTTTGTGTAATAAATTTTAATATTTTTTTGAAGGTGTGTAATAAATTTTAAATAAAATAGATATATTTTTCTCTCTAATTTCAGATAAAAGAGATAAATACTAGTTCAAAATAGTTTGGTCTAATGGTTGAAGCACACTAGATCTCACCCTGATGATCGCAGGATTGAATCGTGGAGTCAGCATTTTGGGAAGGGCTCTAAACATAATTATTTTCTGACCTGAAAGGGATTAGTCTCTTAACATGGATTAGTCTCTTAAAATGGACGTGAGAAGAAATCCTTGGTAAAAAAAAAAAAGAAAAGTAATAATTTGAAAATAGCATAATAATTATTTATTTTTGTTAAAATGGATTGAGAGGAAACCTTGGTAAAAAAAAAAAAAAAAAAAAAAAAAAAAACACGAAGAGTAAGTTCCTAATTGTAATAAAAATAATACATAATAATTATTTATTTTGTCCATGTTTAATTAGAAGTACATAAAAATAATGCGCTCTGCCATTATTTATTTTGTATGATGTTGTTGTAGCGTTTTCCGTGTAAAAAAATGTTATTTCATCTTTCATCCAAAGTCTCTTTCATCTTCTCTCTACTCTTTATCTCCTACGTTTAGAATCCTTAATACCGGAAAAAAAAAAAAAAAAAAAAAATAGAAGAGGTAAGTACTAATTTGAAAATAACATAATAATTATTTATTTTTGCAATTAATTTAAAGACAAAAGATAATTGCTTATTTATTTATTTATTGTTGTTTGTAGTTTTTTCGGTAAAAAATGTTATTTATCTTTCATCCAAGTCTCTTTCATCTTCTCTCTACTCTTATCTCCTACGTTTAGATCCTTAATACCCTTTCATCTCCTCCTTTTTATCTCTGCGTCACAAGAATCGCTCCTACTCTGAAAGGGGAAAATTGAAGAATCGAAGAACAAATAGAAGGTTATATAGACAAAAGCAGTTGTTAATCTAGGTATGGACCCTCAACATTCTGCTTTTGAAGCCAGCTCTCCTAAGAAACCATGAGTAATATTGCTTCTCTTTTGTTTCTACTGTGTTTTTTATCTGTGTCTCATTCATCTTTACTCTCCCTCTCTACTTTTATCTCCTACAATCGGATCCTTAATGCCTCTTTATTGCTAGAATATCTCCTCCTTTGAAAGGAAGAAGCAAAGAATCAAAGGATATGTGAAAGGCTATGTTGAAAGGCAGACGCTAATCTAGGTACAAGCTCTCAAATTTCTACTGTGTTTTTGCAATTGTTTTGATATTTTTAAGGCTTAATTATAAATTTAGTGTTTAAACTATCTAAAAATTTCTATTTCAGCGTATCAATGAAAAATATTCACAATCAAGTGTTTAAATCGATAAATTATCTCATGTCTCCATCTGGCCGCAAATAGAACTTATGAGACCCACCGAATATATTCAAAAAATAGCTGACTAGGATAATAAATAGCTTGATACGTCGGATTTGACATGTCAAAGTCAAACAGGTTGAACCTATTTTTAACTGGTATGTAGTAATTTATAAAATGAAATAATAACTATGCTAATTCATGAGAGATAATATCACAACTCATTATCATGGGTTGAACCGACATCGAGGCTTGTGTAAGTTTAAGGCCTTAAAAGCCCATGATTGTGTTTGCAATAATGGATATCCATTCTAAATTGCTTCATCCAAAGCCCAACTCGTTCATTTTATTCATTAGATATATAATCTGAAATACTAACAACTATGACAATAAAAATAAAATAAAATGATTTATACATAAATTCTTCTACCGTAATTAACAGATTTGGTCTATGTTGATGACTAAATAGTCACCGTTGATAATGGGAACCTTATCACCCAACTCAACAACAGTCTGTCTCAACGGTTCTCTATTAAAGAGCCAACACCACTCCATTACTTTCTTGGGATATCAGTTACTCGCGTCAATGATGGATTATTCCTGTCACAACATCAATACATACAATATTTACTTATCCGTAGCAAAGTGGCTGATGCTAAACATGTAGGTTCATCAATGGAAACTATTGGATCTCTTCAACTTCATGATGGTAGTCCCTCCATGGATGCCCAGCGCTAAAGAAGTACTATTGGCTCTCTTCAATACTTAACCTTCACATGACTGGACATAAGCTATGCTATCAATAAACTTGCTCAACACATGCATCACCCAACAGAGATTCATTGGCAAGCACTAAAGAGAATTCTACGCTACTTGAAAGGTACCACATATCATGGTCTTTATCTACGTCTGAATAAAAAGCTCTCTCTTATAGCCTTCTCTGATGCAGAGTGGGCCGGTGATAAAGACAAATTTCTATTAAGTGCCTATGTTATATATCTTGGAGGAACGCCTATTTCATGGACTTCTAAAAGGCAGCGAATAGTAGCTTGTTCTTCCATTGAAGCTGAATATCGCACAATTGCCACATCAACTTCATAAATTTTGTGACTCGGTACATTGTTTCTTGAACTCAAAGTGACAGCCCATCAACAACCGATCATCTTTTGTGATAACATTGGTGCCACATATTTTTGTGCAAATTTGGTTTTTCACTCCAGAATGAAGCACTTAGCTCTAGACTATCATTTTGTTTGTGAAAAGGTTACCACTAGGCAACTTCGTGTACAACATGTCTCGAGTAAGTATCAACTGGTAGATCTCTTAACCAAGCCTCAAACAAAGCAACGACTACTGCAATATTGTCCCAAGATTGGTGTCTCCAATGGGAGCACCATCTTGCGGGGGCGTGTTAAAGAGAAATTATAGCATTCAGTTATGGAGAAATATCTACAAACACCCGTTATGGAAAATCCACACAATTAGTAATCCATAGAGTCAAATGTCTACGTACAACTGTAACTTGATTTGTTTACATATTCATCTTATTCATATCCCTATAATCATGATTCTCGTTGACTTGAACACTCTATAAATTCCTGCAGCATTGTACTGAAAAACACAGAGGAAAATAAAATATTTCCGTAATGCAGGTAAAAATTTTTTGTATCAGCAAAATTTTTAATTTTATTAATTAAAATTACAAGGAAAAAACTTAATAAAGTCTCAATAAAACTAAATCCAAGCGAACAGGCTTTCTCCAAAACAGCTAATCTTAGCCGAAGAATGTTAAGTTAAAAAAACTTGGACTGCAATACATCAATATAAAGAATTATATATATTAACTCTAACAATAACTTCAAGCACACTATGTTGCTCACACGATACACCTCTATTCGCCCAATCTCAACAAATCAAGTCAAATATAATATCGCCCAAAACCAATAATGAAAAAACTTAAAGAACATAGCTGCAACGTTGACATCTTCCTTAAATCTATATCCATGTGATAAATTTTTTTGAGGAGAGTACCCCTTTCCTTGCTCGATGATCTGCAAAGTGATTTTTTTTTTCTGTGTTCACATGCTTAAAACAAAAAGAAGTTAGAGATGCAAGAAGAGAACGAAGCCTATTGAACTTATTCCACCATCTCCATGGACAATTGTCAGATTGATTTGCCCAACTAAAGACTACCTTTTTATCCATCTCAAAAATAATTGGATAAGTTTGAAATTCCGAACTTGCAAAAATTTCTACTACTTTTAACAACGCAAAAAACTCAAGTGTATTTGACTCCTCCACACCAATTGATTCATAAAATATACATATCACATATCCTCGAGAGTTTCTTAGAACTCCACCAATGCATGCTGGCCCAGGTTTCCCTAAAGCTGAACCATCTGAGTTGAACTTCGATAAACCTTCAATTGGATTAACCCAATAATTTGAATGGTATGACAATGGTGCCCGAGCAGGCTTGAAACTTGACACCATAAGAGGAAACATAAACCAATCGCTTAAACAAAAAGGAGAGATGGATATTTCACCTTCATAATTTCAAAGCTACTAATCCGAATTTTTTCAAAAATGCTCTCAACTTGAAATTGTTCATCTGAGAAGGCAGCTTTATTCCTGCATAGCCATATTGACCAAATTGTTAAGAAGTAAATAATGATCCAAGAAAATTTGATGCCCTTAATGTCTACTAATTCATTCCATTGCCATCCCAAATCTATAATAGATCTTGGAATCACAGTTACCACATCCCACCAACGAAATACATAATTCCATATTTTATTAGCAAAAAGGCAATGAAGCAGAAGGTGATTTGTTGATTTTGTCGAAACCATACACAGGGGACAAACACACTCCTCCAAATTAACAAAACAACTCCTCTTGAATAAATTTTCTTTGGTTGGGATCATATCAAGGCAAACTTTCCAAACAAAGAGAGCTATTTTTGGAGGGATGCCGTTAACTCACACCAATTTGAAATTAAAATTTAGGTCTTGAACTCCTAAAGCAGCATCTTCTATTAAGTAGTATACATTTTTGACTGAAAAAAAAAAACCATTTTTATCAAAGATCCAAGCCAACTTGTCATCCTGGTTAGAAAAAACTGAAATGGAATTTAATGGGATCTTCAAATTGCTCCATGATTCAAGTTCAAAAGACTTCATCTCCCTAATCCATCTCCAAACCCCATTTACAAAATATCCACAATCACAAATGAATGCTCTTTTCGTGCTACTAATTCTAAAAAGTCTAGGGAACAATACTCTCAGTGGAATTTCTTCCAACCAAATATCCCACCAAAACTTAACATTTTTTCCATTACCTACTATCCATTTAAAGCCTCTTTTGATAAAATCTGTTGTTGGTTGTGCATTGTTACCTAAAGAGACCACTTCCCTCCAATAAGGACTAAGTTTTCTCCATTAGTTAGGCTCTTCATCGGATTACAAGGAGGCCTCTTTTCCATACTTAGAAATCAAAATTTTTTTTCCAAAACCATTTTCTATTTTAAAACACCACCACCGTTTGCTGAGTAAGGAAAGATTTTGTCCTTTTAGATTGCATATATCTAGTCCTCCTTTACTCTTCCTACTACAAATAATTTTCTATTTAACCCAATTTATAGGTCATTCACCATCGACGCTGATGGAGATTATAATTGGTAGCAAACCAATAAAATTTATGTGGAATTCATATACTATACTTTGGCCTTGTTTTTAAAGACCATAAATTGCATTGCGTTACCATTCCTTGAAAGCAATTAGATTATTTTTTGTGGTTACGACTATTTTTTCTTCATTAATTTTTTGACATTGTTGTTTTCAAAATCTTTGTTTACGTGATAAGCCGTAAAGAAGGGAATTTAAATCTTTTAGAATAAAGCTAAATTTGTTC